TGAGACCAAATTATTGTGCAATGTTCAAATATACACTCGTTGAATGTAACACAATTATAGCAAAAACACTCGTATCATTATAATGTTGCTAAAACTTGTTTACACAAACAAACAATGTAAACAAATGTTTATTACGATTGCTTTATAATATATATACATATGTACAATCACTGGACACTTTATTAGAAGTGCTGCAGCTTGTGGAATTCTTTGAAACATGGGTATAAGCACAATGGTGTCTTACACTCCTCACACATAAAAACGAGTGTCTCTGCATTTTTGTGGGCGTTTTGTGTATGTCCACAGACAAAACACCTCTTCTGAGCATTTTTCTTGGCAGTAGTAGCAGGCAGTGGTATGGGGTAGTGATCACCAGGCCTCAGACGAGAGGACATGTGTTGATAATTTCGTGGGCGCTGGTCTATTGCAGGTGTTGTTTCTTGGTACTTGAATATTATTTGTCTGATGACTGACAAACAAAATTCACCATATTTGGGTTTGTTCTTGGTCTTCAACTTATACATATTATAAGCATTCAGCATGGAAATGTCAAGAAGATAGAAAAACAGTTTTATGTACCACTTATAACTCTTGCAAACACAGTCAGCAAACCCAATCTGCATGTCACATTTGTCCACTAAGCGCATATTGAGGTTGTAATCCATCACAGCTGCAGGTTTTACAATAGGTTCATTGGTCTCTCTATTCTGCTTGCCAGTCTCTACCATTTCGTGTCGGTGAACTGATATCAGCAGTGTGATATCACGTTTGTCATGCCACCGAAATGCCATGATGTCATTGGCAGCAAACACCTGCACTTCACCTCTACGACTGCCAGCTTCGAACCTAGGCATATGTTTACGATTTCTACGCACTGTGCCACACACATCTGTCATGTTCACTCGCAAGAAATCACTGAGTATAGGGCTTGTGTACCAGTTGTCAGTATATAAAATATGCCCCTTACCAAGATATGGCTCCATCATTGTTCTAACCACATCACCAGAGATACCCAGTAACTTCCTGGTATCTTCCATTGTTTTACTGCCAGTGTACACAATTATATCCAAAACCAGACCAGTTTTGCAATCATACAGAACAAATAACTTTATACCAAAGTGTTTCCTCTTGCTTGGTATATACTGCTTGAATGAGAGTCTTCCTTTGAACAAAATCAAAGACTCGTCAATAACAAGCTTCCTGAAGGGATAAAAATACATACAGCACTTTTGTTTCAGGTACATAAACACACGTCTGATCTTATATAACCTGTCGCTTCTGTCAGGCCTGGTTTTGTCTGAAAAGTGTAACATACGTAACAGTAACACAAATCTATTCACTGGTATAATGTCACTGAAAGCAGGGGTTGAAATCAGGCGGTCTGTCGCCCAGTATGTGTTGACACTATGCTTATACACATGTGGCATAAGCATTATTGTGGCAAAGAACAGATAAATCTCTGCCACAGTTGTGTCCTTCCACTGGTGTTGGCGTGATCTTGGTGAAAGCATAGTGTTTGCCATGGTGTACTCATAGTATGTATTGCTTTCCCTGACAATAATGTCCATCAGGGGTTCATCGAAGAACAACTGAAAGCATTCCAGTTCAGTGGGATTGTTCCCAAGTGTACATGATGGCCGTATTCCACTTTGTCCTCCATCAAAGTCATGGGGATTGGGAACAAACTCGTCATCTTGATGCCAATCCCAGATGCGGTCAGCTGGTGCGTTCTGGATATTGCAATGTCATTGTGGTTGTGCAGGTTGTGGTTGTGGTTGTGAGAGTGTGGGGTCGGCCGAGGCGGGTTGTAGTTGTGCAGAGTCAGCAGCGCGGGCACATAGCGTGCCTGCTGCTGGTGTCACATGACTCATGGCACCGTCACTATCACTACCACCGCCTGCTGCCTCACTCACATCATTTATACCCATCGTAACAATATCGTCATCTTCACTATCAGGACGTGGTGTAGGGCCACGGGATGTGCTCCGAGATGTACTCCTTCCTCTTGGAAGAGCATATGGCACACTACCAGACCGCATGCGACGTCGTATATACTGCCGCTTCACTGGGGAATATTCACCCTCACTGTCACAACTAGAAGTGCTTTCAATAACCTTGAAATCACTATCGCTATCACTTGCACTGCTCACATCTGAGTCTTGTACACGGGCAAATAGTTTCCTCTTTCGTCCTGGTACAGGTGAACATGAACGAGCCGGCCCAGCACCAGAGGTGGATGGTGTGGGTCATCTGGGTTTTCATCACTAATTATGTTATCCTGGTAATTTTCTCGGTCACACCCGCTTCAAAACCAGGAATTCACTTTCACTGACACTATCATCACTGTTTGAGCTATCACTTGGGAACAAAAGACCTCCAGTCCGCCGAGGAGTGAGGAACTTCTTACTGCGAGGCATGGTGAAAATGGACTACCAAGATGGCGTTCCCACAATGCACCGCTGAGTCCCAGATTTTTTCACAGGGTGCACACCGACCACTGAGACCCATTCTCTCTCGTGTAGGCCTACCAGCCCTCTCCTGCTTGATTTGAAGCCGCTAGAATTTATGCGTATAGATACGTCAAACACGGTATCTCCCATGACCTACATATACGACCGCGACAGTCAAAGGGTTAAGGCAAGGAGGAGGAAATGAATACCTTCATCCCAGTCTGTTGAGAACTGCTCACAGTATGCCCTCATCATGACCTTCAGGGTTTGGTGAAACCTCTCTATAACACCCTGGGTTTGGGGTCTATATGCTGTTGAAACAATGGGTTTAACTCCGACCCTGGACATAGCTTAACGGAAAATCTTTGATGTGAAATTCGTCCCTCTGTCAGATTGGATCTCCTTAGGGAATCCGAACTGTGTGAAGAATCTAAATAGGACTCTCACAATAGCCTTGGCACTAATCTTGCGAAGGGGCACAGCCTCTGGATACAGAGTAGCCGTATCCATTATAGTAAGAAGATATTGATTGCCAAGCCTAGTTTTTGGGAGAGGTCCTACACAGTCTATTACAAGCTGAGAGAAGGGTTCGCCTTCTACGGCAATAGGTAAGAGGGGCGCAGGAGGAGGTTTTTGTGCAGGCTTTCCAATGAGCTGGCAAATAGCACAGTTTCCCAAGTACTCAGTCACTGTATCCTTCATCTTGGGCCAGAAGAAATATCGGGCTAATTTTCCTAGAGTCTTTCTTATTCCCAAATGTCCGCCCATGGGGCTAGAATGTGCCACTTCCAATGCTAACTCCCGAAATCGGACAGGTAAAACCTAGAGCTGTTTTGGCTTGAGACATGAATTAACTGAAGTCGACGGAAATTTCTTCATCAGGATACCGTCAGAGTAATAAAAACATTCTTCCTTACCCTCAGCTTCCATCTCAGTAAGCACTTGATCCCTTGCCCGTTTCAACGACGGGTCTTCAAGCTGTTCTTTCACTAAATTTTCCCAATTAAAGTCGTTACTCCGTAATGGGGCAAAATCTACCACTTGGGATTTTGGAGGCTGATTTTTGACTTCGTGTTGATCACTGGCACTGAACAAACCATCCAAACTCCAATCTGAGGGTTCATTAGGAGTAGGCAGTGGTTCCAAATTTTTAGCCATAGCCCTGGTTATGGCTGTAAGAGGGAATAGACGAGGACCTTCCTTACACCCTTCAATGGCGTAATTCTCTCCAGAGAACTTCTCTATAACATAAGGTTCTCGGCAAATTCCTCCTCTTCCTAAATCATTACACACCAATAGATCTACACTCTTAATGGGAAAATCAGTTTCAGAAAGGCCCACAACAGCTTCACCTTGATATGAATCTACGTTCACATAAACCTTATGAAGGGGTACTCTTGTGATGGTGCCACCGTAACCTTCTAGCAGAACATCCAGGTTAATATAAGTGTCATCATTCAGAGGAAGTACTCCTTTTCTCAGTAAGGTCAGGTAGCTTCCCGTATCCCGATAGGACACTATGTCCACCATTTGGTTCTCTGTAATTCCAGCCTTACCCTTAAAGAAGTAAGGCAACATGGCTTCCGAAACTTTGTCTGCGAACAACTCAGAGGGAATTAGGCACTTCGATTTTGAGGAAGGCGTCATCTTTACAGGTAATGTTTCAGAACCTGACCGCCTATGGTCTCGACTTAATTGGAAACATGAGCGCCTCCAATGGCCTGGTTTCTGACAATAAGAGCAAGTTGGGCCTCTTCTTGATGTATCTCTCTCGTAAGATGGTCTTCCTTTACCATTATTGTGGATGACACTCGAGGAGGAGAGGTCTGGTGATCCATTTTCCTAGGAGAGATAGGCTGACTCTTAGGAGAACATAACCTGGCTTTCTCTCTAGACCTTTTTTCCTTGGTCAATTGAGAGGTTATCTCAAAGTGATCAGCTAGAGAAGCAGAGGCCAACACATCTGCAGTCTGGTGTTCGATAACAAAGGAGCGTACATCGCCCATCAGAAAGCTCTGAAATTCTTCTTGCAAGATCAACTGCATCAGACGCTCCATAGTATCACACCCAGATGACCTAAACCATCGCTCTAGGGGAGGTTATACAGGCATGGGAAGGTTATTAGGGGCCTGGGGAGGTTATGCAAGGCATGGGAAGCTTATATAGGACCTCGGGAGATTATCACGAGCCTAGGGAGGTTACTAGGGGCCTGGAGATGTTATTAGGGGGCTGGGGAGGCTATTAGGGACCTGGGGAAGGTATTAGGAGCCTGGGGAGGTTATTAACGGACTGGAGAGGTTATTGTGGCTTGGGGAGGTCATTAGGGGTCTTTGTAAGTTATACATAGCATGGGAAGGTTATTAGGGGCCTGTGGAGGTTATTAGAGGCCTGGGGAGGTTATTAGCAATCTGGGGATAATATATGGGGTCTAGGGAGGTTATGCAGGGCCTGAGGAGCTTATACAAGGCCTGTTGAGATTATCAGGGGGGCTTGCAGAGGTTATTACCTGCCTGGGGAGGTTATTAGGGGCCTGGGGATGTTATTAGGAGCATGGGGACGTTATGTGCGGTATGGGTAGGTTATTAGGTGCCTGGGGAAGTTATTAGGGTCTAGGGAGGTTATTAGGGGCTTTGAGAGGTTATTAGGGGCCTTGGGAGGTTATTAGAAGCCTGGGGACTATATACAGGGCCTGGGGAGGCTATGCACAACCTGGGGAGGTTATTATGGGTGTGGGGATGCCATTAAGAGCCTGGGGAGGTTATTAGGGGCCTGGTGAGGTTATATGTGGGCTAGGGAGGTTATTAGGGGCCTTGAGAGGTCATTAGGAGCCTTGGGAGGTTATTAGGAGCCTGGGGACTATATATGGGGCCTGGGAGGGTATGCAGATCCTGGGGAGCTTATCAATTGCCTGTGAAGGTTATCAGGGATATGGGGACGTTATTAGGTGCCTGAGGACGTTATTAGGGGCTTTGTGAGATTATTAGGGGCCCAGGGAGGTTATGCACAGCTTGGGAAAGTTATTAGGGGCCTGGGAAAGTTATTAGGGGCTCGATTGGTTATTAAGGGCTTGGGTAGGTTATTGACAGCATGGCTAGGTAATTAGGAGTACTGGAAGGTTCTACAGGGCCTGGGAAGTTATTAGGGGCCTTGGGAGGTTATTTAGGGCCTGGGGACGATGTACGGGGCCTCTGGAGGGTATTCAGGGACTGGGGAGCTTAACAATGGCCTGCAAAGGTTATTCGGGGACTGGGGAGGTTATTAGTTGCCTGATGAGGTTGTTAGGGTCCTGGGGAGGTTATGCACAACCTGTGGAGGTTATTTGGAACCTGGGGACGTTATTAGGGGCCTTGGGAGGTTACTAGGGAGGTTACATCGTCCCCAGGCCCTAAATAACCTCCCAAGGCCCCTAATAACTTCCCAGGCCCTGTAGAACCGTCAACTAACTACACGAATACCACCTGGTGGTTCACACTTACACTCGCTCACTCATTTGACCATAAACAGAAATATTAATCTCAGTCTTAAAATAATGAATCCTGTGATACTCCAATACTGAAAGTATATACTGTGCCAAAACAAAAGCATTCACATTGCTAAACTCATAAACTAGTATTTAGTCACTTAGCCATAATACCAACTTACCTCATAATTTGTAATATTTTACAATTAAGAATAAAATTAAGTATGCCCGAAATGCCTAGCCATGCTAAGCGTTCTAGTGGTACACTCTGTAATCACAATTTTACTACATGTAAACCAAACAATAACCAAATTTCTGTAAACTCAGCATTGTAATCCTTATAGAGAATACACTTTGAATTGAATTGAATTGAATTGAATTAGGAGGTTATTAGGGGCCTGGGGAGGTTATTAGGGGCCTGGGGAGGTTATTAGGGGCCTGGGGAGTTTATTAAAGGCCTGGTTAGGTTATGCGCAGCCTGAGGAAGTTATTAGGGGCCTTGGGACGTTATTAGGGGCCTTGGGAGGTTATGCACTGCATATAGAGGTTATTTTTTTATTTTTTTATTTTATATTTTAATATTATTAGGGGTATGGGGAGGTTATACAGGTACTGAGGATGTTAATAGGGGCCTGAGGAGGTTATTTGGGACCTGAGGAGGTTATGTGCAACCTGGGTAGGTTATTAGGGGCCTTGGGAGGTTATTAGTAGCCTTGGGAGGTTATTAGGGGCCTGGGGAGGTTATTATGGGCCTGGGGAGGTTATTAGTGGCCTCGGGAGATTATTCAGGGCCTTGGGTCGTTTTTAGTGGCCTGTAAAGGTTAAACGGGACTTGGGGAAGTTATTAGCTGCCTGGGGAGGTTATTAGGAGTCTGGGCAGGTTATGCGCATCCTGGAGAGGTTATTAGGGGCCTTGCGAGGTGATTAGGAGCCAGAGCACGTTATACAGGCCTGGGGAGGTTATGCGGGGCCTGAGGAGCTTATAAAGGCCCATTGAGATTATCAGGGACCTTGGGAGGTTATTAGGTGCCTGGGGTGGTTGCTAGGGGGCCTGGAGATGCTATTAGGGGCCTTGGGAGGTTATGCACGGCCTGGGAAGGTTATGCACGGCAAAGTTATTAGGGTCATGGTGAAGTTATTAAAGGCCTGGGGAGGTTATTAGGAGCCTGGAGACGATATGCAGGACCTGCAGAGGGTATGCAGGGCCTGGGGAGCTTATCAATGGCTTATGGGACTGGGGATTTTATTAGGAGCCTAGGTTCGATATAAGGTGCCTGGAAATGGTATTCAGGCCTCGGGACCTTATCAATTGCGATGGGAAGGTTATTAGCGGTCTGGGACTGTTAATAGTGCCGAAGAAGGTATAATACTGGGCCCAGGAGGCTAGTAGGGGGCCGGGGATGTTAATGACAGCCTCGGGAATTTATTAGTTGCCTGGGAAGGTTAAACAGAAAATAGGAAAGGTTAATGGGCCTGGGGAGGTTATAAGAGAAACCTGTGAAGGTTATTAGGCTGGGGATAATATACGGCCTGTGGGGTTATGCAAGCTGAGTAGCTTATACAGGCCTCTTGAGATTATCAGGGTCTGCAGAGGTTAATATGGCATGGTCAGGTTATTAGTGGCCTGGGATTGTGGTTTTAGGGGCCCTGGCGACTCTGTGCAGCATGCCGAGGTAATTTAGATGCTAGGTGAAGTTATTAGGTCCTGCAAGGTTATAAAGGGCCTATGAGAGGCCTATACAGGGCATGGAAGGTGTTCGTGGCCTGGGAGGTTATGATTGGCCTGTGGAGCTGATACAGGAACTTGGGGCGATTATCATGAGCCTGGGAGCATTTGTGGGCCTGAAGAATATTTTAGTGGACTCAAGGAGTTTATTAGGGTCCGGGGCAGGTACGGTGCCAGAGGAATTATTAGGAGCCTGGTAGGATATACAGGGCATGGAAAGGTTTATTAGGGGCTGGGAGGTTATAGAGGACCTTGGGAGGTTATTAGGGGAGTGATGAGGTTAAGTTAGGCCTGGAGAAGTTATTAAGGGCTGTGGTGGTTTTAATTAGGGCCTGGGAAGTTTCAGGGGCATCGGGAGGTTATTACGGACCCTGGTAAGTTATTAAAGGCCCTGGTAAGTTATTAGGGGCCATGAGAGGATTTTTTAAGGCTGGGAGTAATTAGGGGCCTGGTAAGGTATTAAGGGCCTGGTGAGGTTATTAGTCGCCTGGTTGAGTGTTATTAGGGTTCAGGAGAAGAAATTAGGACCAGGGTAGTTTATTCAGGCATGGGAAGGTTATTAAGAGCCTGAAGGAGTTATTAGAGGACTGGGAGGTAATTCGAGCCTGGGAACGCTTTATACATGGCCTGGGAGGTTATGGCCGGCCTGGGGAGCTTATACAGGGCCTGTTGAGATTATCAGGGAACTTAGCAGGTTAATAGGCGCCTGGGGAGGTTATTAGGGACATGGAGATGTTATTAGGGGCCCCTGGGGAGGTATACAGGGCCTAGGAAGTTATTAATGAGCCCTGGGGACGTTATTTGGGGCCTGGGAATTATGCATGGCCAGGGGAACTATTAGGGGTCTTGGGAGGTTATTTTGGGCCTGAAAAGATTATTAGGGGAATGGGGAGGTTATATGGGGCCTGGGGAGCTTATTGGGGGCTGGGAGGTTATTAGGGCCTGGGAAAATTTAGTAGATCCTAGTGAGGTTATTAAAGCCTAGAAGATATATAGGGCCTGGGGAGTAATTAGGGGTCGTGGTGATGTCTTAGATTCCCTGGGAAGGTTTTATTAGGGCCAGTGGAGGGTTATTCATGGCTGGGGAGGTTAATAGGGGAATGGGAGTTATAAGAGGGCCTGGGAAGTTATTGGGAGGCTAAGTGAAATTATTAGAAGCCAAAGAAGGGGGGGGGATACAAGGGCCTAGAAGGTAACTGAGCGAGGGCGCGAGTGTGTGGTGGAGAGTGAGAACAGGAGCCTTGTGGAAGTTATTATGGCCTGGGATCGTTATGCACGTCCTGGGGAGAGTTATACGGGGGTCGGGCGAGTTTATTAGGAGCCTGGGGGTTTAATTGAATGACTTTGGGAGTATATTATGGGTTATGAGTAGGTATACAGGGCCTTGGAAGTTAATTAGGAGGGCAGGTGAGGTTATTCGGTGCCTGCGGAGGTTATTAGGGGAATGGGGAAGTTATTAGGGGCCTGGGGAAGTTATTAGGAGCCGAGAGAGATTATTAGAAGCCTATGGAGGATATTTGGTGTCTGGGGAGGTTATGCGGGGCCACGGACGATATTATGGGCCTGAACAGGTTATTATGGACCTTGGGAGGTTATTAGGAGCCTGGGGACAATACTCTGGGCCTGGGGGGTTATGCGGGCCTGGGGAGCTTAATCAGGGCCTGGGCGATTCCAGAAACCTGGGGAGGTTATTAGGAATATGGGGAGGTTATATATGGCAGGGGGAGGTTATTAGGGGTATGGGAAGGTTATACAGGGACTGTTTAGATGATCAGGGGCCTTGGGAGGTTATTAAGGGCGTCTGGAGGATTATACATGGCTCTGGGAGATTTATGCAGGGCCTAGGGAGCTTATTACAGGGCCATTGGGAGATTATCAGGAACTGGGGAGGTATTAGGGCCCTGGGGAGGTTAATGACGGCCATGGGGAGTAATGTACGGCATGGGGAGGGTATGTACGGCTATGGTGAGGTTATTAGGTTAGGGGGAGGCTATCCATAGCCTGTTTAAGTTACTAAGTGCCCTGGACGTTATTTGGGGCCTCGGAGGTTAAGCCAACTGAAGGATGTTATTAAGGTCCGTGGAGGTTATTATAGGCTGGGGAGGTTACTGAGGGCAAGGCGAGGGTTATATGGGGCCTGGAAGCTAATTAAGGACTGTGGAATGTTATTAAATTCATGGGGAAGTTCATATAAGCCTGGGGGTTATTAGTAGTCCTGGGGAGGTTATCATACATGGCCCAGGAGGTTATTAGGTGTGTGGCGCCTGGGTGAGGCTATACAGGCTTGGGAAGGTTATTATGGGCCTGGGGAGTTATGCAGGGCAATGGAAGCTTATACCAGACCCTCGGGAGATTATCACGACCTAGGGAGGTTAACTATGGGCCTGG